GAAGATGACTTTAGGCAATAACCAGAACATACTATAGGAAATCAATATACTGTAATTGAACGGAATTTTTTTTTTTTAAGTTGTGCATCCCTGTTAAATTTCCTCTGGATTGTCAGACCGTAGAAGATAGTGAATCTAGTTTTCCATCAGCCGTATGACTTTCTGGAAATATCATGTGCTGCAGGGGCCACTCTATTATTATTTACTTAGAAAGAGCTCAACTGAATAATAGTATTGGGAGATTTTGTGTGCATTTTCTTTACTAGTCTTTGGCTTCATTGTTTAAAACAATAAAAGACAGAAAGAAAAGCAAAAACACAACCAGACAAAAACAACCTTCTTCACATAGCTAGGGAAGCCAAGTTAATGAAATTTCAAACAGTGAAAACAGAAAAGTTGTTAGATAAGCCTCTCATTTGAACCTAAGTGAAATTCTATTTTTTTAAAATATATTTTATTGATTTTTTACAGAGTGGAAGGGAGAGAGATAGAGAGCCAGAAACATCGATGAGAGAGAAACATCGATCAGCCGCCTCCTGCACATCTCCCACCGGGGATGTGCCCGCAACCCAGGCACACGCCCCCAACCGGAATCGAACCCAGGACCCTCCAGTCCGCAGGCCAACGCTCTATCCACTGAGCCAAACCGGTTTTGGCGTGATATTCTAATTTTAATCAAACGCTATGCCTGTCAATCTTGCTATGCTGCAAGGAATACGACCCATTGTAGCTACAAATTCAATTTGGATCTATGTGAATTCATTTTTACTGCCTATGATTGGAGGAAGAGTTATTACAATCAAACGGAACAGCTTGACGTAAACCTCTGGGAGGTGAATGGATATGAACAGAAATTAAAGAATCTTAAAACTTGAGAAATCTTTCAAAGAGGTGTGGATAATCAACATTTCCTTGTGTGTTGCTGATGTTTACTTCATCTTTTGCCTTTGGTATACATTTTGAGAAGCACTGTCAGGCCTTAGAGTAAATAAACAACATGCCATGCTTATAGAGATTTCCAGAAATATTTTTTTTCAGAATATCTTGTCCACTTCATATTTCTACTACTTTCCTTATTTTATTAAATGCCTCTTGATCAAATATATCCCAGTGGAAAGAGCAGAATCTCTTGATACCTAGCTGCCCCTTCAGTAAGATAGTAGTGATACCTTTCTCATAGGGTGGTTCTGGGAAGTAAACTAGTATCAGCAAAGCTCTATGCACTGTATATGTGTCATAATAAGTTTTATAAAAATAATGATGATTTTGCCTTTTAAATTGTATTACCAAAATGTGAAATCATTAGCTATTATATTGAGCCAGCCATTTAACAGTTCTGAGTCTGTTTCCTTGACAATAAAATAGGAATAATATCTTCTCTGCCTACCTTAAATACATCACATTGACAAAAAGAATGTTTAAACTACAAAACAGCACCACAATTAAAAAAACTGAGTCTGAACTGTAAAAAGCACTAGTTTAAATCCTAGTTTTCTCTCTTAGAAGGTATGTGACCTTAGTTGGGTACTTAGTTTCAATGCTTATAATGTAATAATGATAACAGTACCTTCTCATAAACTTATTTTGAGGCTTAAATGAAATCTTGTATGAAGAGTTCAGTACCATGGCTGGCATATAGAAAGTATTACAAAAACTGTAAAAACAATTGTGCTATTCTATATAGGAAATAAGTATTACTTTATTTTCTTAATACATTTTTGTTATACCCATTGTTGATATCCAATGAGTGGATATATTTTATTGCTAGTTTTCCAGATAAATTGTATCTTAAACTTTCTATACCTCAAAATTTACCTCTGAAAATCCTAGTTCTTGCTGTCCACAGCTAACATTCTGCTAACATTAAGTATTGGAGTCTGAACATATGAAGAACTGATTTAAGTAAAATAAATCACCAAACCTAAAATACAGACTGCTGTTACTTAGAGCAGGAATAACGTTACAAGTGATATAATCAAAACACATATGAGTCTGATAGAGAAAAATAAAGAAAACAAGAAATAAATGAATGAAAAGAAAGATGGAAGAAAGGGAAAAAAAAGAAAATAGAAAGGTGAAAAACCTTCATCAAGCAGAGGAGAAAATTATCTCTTATAATAAATGTGGGAGAATCTGGCAAAAAATTAAAGTACATAAGTACTTACGTCAATTTATTTACTTGACCACCATGCACACACTTGATATTAAAAGTAAAACTTTATGGAAGGACTTCGATTCGCTTAGTCACATACACTATCATTAGCAATTGCTAAAGTCGGAGTCATGAAAATATTGGATCATTTGGAACACTTTTCTAGGATTAAAAAAGAAAACTGTCCTCCAGAAGTCCAAAGGGATGGGTGTGGTTGGTCAAGACATGGCCACTGGAAGAATCAATGGGAGTAAAATAAAAAGAGAGGGAAGAAACATCATATATGGTACAAATAATGCTTAAGTCATTGCCTAGGTCTGAAGACAAGATATATCTAACTACTGTACCTACTTCAATTATGTTTTTATTATTAATTCAACCCCCCCAATGCTAGAGTATTTTAGAATTTTTAAATCATTGGCTGTATTTAGTTATGTTGAAGGGAGGACAGAATTAAGAAGCTTGAAATTATACATTTAAAATGTTTGTCCAGAGCTCCACTGAAACAAACTGCTCACAAGGTTTTATTTATTCCAGTGGTAAATATTTTGACTAATCAGTACACCAGAATACTGTGGTCAAGTTTGGCTCAAATATATGTCATTTATTTGGGCAAATTGACAATATGTTTACGAAACTCCAAATAAAAACAAAAACTCAAAGGGAGAAAAAATATGAATTTCTCTGTTTACTTTGGCAGCTTAGACATATTTATCTCTGAACAAGATGATGTAGTAAAAGCTATTCATTCAGCTTAGAATTAAGTACTATAATTATAAAATGGATAGTGTTAGGTTTGATAGAGCAATTGAGTTGATACACTTCCCCTGGGAACTGGCTTTTCAGGTCATTTCACTATGGACATTCCCTTTGCTGAAGACCACTTTTCACTTGCGGTGACCACATTTCATTCTCTCCCCTCCGCGTACACATAAAGAAGTCTCTGCCCAGAAAAATCCTGCCACAAGTCCTTTCAAAGCCACTGACTCCCCTCACTGGGTGCTGGAGCCATCCAGGCTCAGCCACCTGGTGTGCAGATGATGGGATACATTTGTAATCCCTCACCACTCTGGCCTCGTGTGTTTCTCCTTTGGCGACCTAAGGGATAGCACATTAGAAATTTAGCTCCTCTCTTAATATTGTAGATCACATTTTTCATGAATACTATTTGGTCTAGGAAAATGAAATCTTAAAAACGTAATTAGGAAAAGTACATATCAAGGAATATAATTGAGGATAGAATTTGGTTGACCTCAGAAGAGAACAAAAGCTCAAAAGAAATTTCATAAGTTTTTCACATTGGCAAGAGGACTACAATATCGCTGATAATTAGACTTTCAACACATTTGGGTTTGCTAATTGGATCTGTTCTAATTAGACATTTTGTGTAATAAAGAATGACATATCATTGTATGAATTTAATGTGCTTTTACAGTTGAAACCAACAAATCAGCAGCATTTTCCAAATTATTTTAATAAGAAAAATGCTGACTTTTGTTTATACTGTGGCATCCCTTTCTCTTAAGGTATACAGGGTGGGGTAATAGTAGGTTTACAGTTGTGAACGTGCAAAACACAGAGTTTATTCTTGTATTATTATTTATTAATTATTGTATTATTTCCCATGTGAACAACCGTTCATCTGCTTTTGCCCCTCCCTGTATTATATGCACTTTAGTTTTCTTAATTTAACTCCTTTTGGGGAGCTCCAAGAGAAACTAGAGTTTTAATGGAAAGCACCTAAAGCATTTATTTGTTAGGAATAGTTGCCAGTGTATTGATGACTTTGGAAACCACAAATAAAATGCAACACAAGGAAATAAATCAGTCTTTAAAAGGAAGCAGCACCAATCACCATGTGCCCCTACAAACCATTCAGTTAATCCAAACGTCTCTGAGTATGACTGAAGGTTGGTCACATTTTCAAAGCATCCAAATGTGAAAGCTCGTGGATCTGGCATCAGGATTAATGGCATGACATTTCTCCCCCAGATATACATTACAACGTTCTCTTTGCAGCTTTGCTTCTCGAGCAGTTATCTGCTCATTCAAGTCACCGCATCTCTCTTTTCTTCTTATTTCTGAATTGAGAGTCATCCATTTTTATCCTGTTGTGATTTATAGGTTGTAATTTCAAAGCTGGTAGTCCTCAGAGTTTAATATTACAAGAGATAAGAACTACATGAAGATGTAAAATCAAACTAGTATTTTGAAGAGTAAAAAGCAGTGAATCATGGCAAGACGAAGGGGAAGGCTGCTGCCAAAATTACCCAAGTAAATTGATAGCACTGACAAAAAAAAAAAAGCAAATTATATTGTTTTATGTACTGTGAATATTTGAAATCAGCAAAGTCATATATATGACTTTTCCTCAAATAAAAGCAGTAATCCTTTTAACCACATTAAAAATCTTCTTGTTCCCCCCCCCCCAATAAAAGCAGTGTAAGATGTAATTAAAACCATTGAAACTGTAAAAAAGCTAACTTGTGCAGTAATGGATCTATTAGAACTGACATTATGCTAGAATTACATGCGCTATTATTTTTCCAATTAGTGTATTACTAGGACTGTTATCGGTGTGTTTATAACTTCTCATGGAGTCAGATATCTTCAGCAAGTCCCCTAAAGCACGTCTGGTCCTGTCCTATGCCCTGTGATGATATGTAAAAGCAGGAAATTGTGTTTTTGATCATTCATTTGCTAGTAAAAAAAAAAAAAGAAAGCCTGCAGAGGACCCTCCCTGTATTAGTTATTCCAAGATCTATCACCAAGTTCTCTGGAGGGTCTGTACACAGGTGACTGGACTGTTCTTCAGGCGGAAAAGTGACCACGCTATTTTATCTTCCAGCTCGGGTGCTGGAATCCTGTCACGGGGCTGAACGGGTCGCTGACTGACAAGAAACTGGAGAATAACATGCGCGGCGTGGTCCTCCGCGTGGTGACCGTGCTGGTAAGTCTGACCTGAGCCTTGTGGTTTTGGCTTCTAGAGGTTATTTATTCTTCATTTCTTTATGTGTTATTAACTGGTGTCATAATCTTAAAAGAGCTTCAGCAAATACTGGCTCTGCTCTTTCTAACATATTTTCCATGGTTATGTTTTCTAGCCTTCAATTTATGTGGATCAGAGTCAGGTTTTTGCAGGCTCTTCTTTAAATTGCACTACTTTTTGTCAGTCACTTTCATAATCATTTTAGGCTTGAATTCCCTTCTTCTACAGTTTCTTACACATGGTAAAGTGAAGGTAACCCTCAGGCATTCTCTCACTGACACCCTAGAGCCGTGGTCGGCAAACCACGGCTGGCGAGCCACATGAGGCTCTTTGGCCCCTTGAGTGTGGCTCTTATTTTGTGGAAGAGCCGCACTCAAGGGGCCAAAGAGCCGCATGTGGCTCGCGAGCTGTGGTTTGCAGAGCCGCAGTTTGCCGACCACTGCCCCAGAGTATGCAAAAATGTAGGTAATTGTGCCGAAGGTTGATTTGACCAAAGTTGTACATTCAGTAATACTGAAACTTTAGCAATAGACTAAGTCAACACTTTTTCAGTTAGGATCTACTTCAAAAGAAAGTCCATCCAATTGTTTAATAAATATTTATTGATTATCAATTGTATTCAAGTTCAGTGCTAATTACTGGGTAAACTAATGAATGAAATAAATATTATTTTGTCTTTTAGCTCTTATCTAGTGATTCTGTGAATATTAAACGGGTTATACTTATGAAACCTGTACTGTAATTCCATTCACTTATTAGAAAAACCAATAAATAGTAAATTTTATTAATTTATAAATTATTTTCTCCCATAATAACCATAAAATAAGACAGTAACAGAATTATTCTTAAACAGTAAAATTCTCAAATAGGTACTGTGTAAATGCCATAAAGCATGGAGACATGCGCTCTCCCTGGCTATTTCAGTCGGTTGGCCTTATTCTACTTTAGAGTACATTTTGAAACCTAACTGTCCATAGTTCTTAACTTGTTTTTTTCCTTCAGGAAACGCTACTTGTTTTTTAATGATATGTGGGAAAGTATTTCTTATAGACTAAAACAATTGCAGAATTAGTAAACAGGAGAATCAAACTGTCTTTTTTATATGTTGATGCTAATTGGATGATTATCAAAGTTTATAATAGCATTGGCTGCCCTTTGTGCATTGTCTAGTACAAATTAAGTAGACTCACTATAATTTCATGGTATTAAAAAAATCTGTAATATTCGCTATAAAAGGATATAAATGAGTAGTTTACCACCCCTCCTTATTGATGCCTACAACTTATTACTGGTTATTGTTTTAATATTCTTTTCACTTTTTGGCAAATAATTAAACTATGAACAAACAAAATCAAAACTTAAATGTGAAGGTGCTGCTATATGTACCCAAGGGTATAGATATGCATTTGCATTGATGTGTTAATTCTGGGGGAAAACACACAGAAATTTAAAGTGCAGTAAACTATTAACAGTCTGTTCTCTAGTGATTAACAAGAAAATACAACTGACAACTGAAATAAAAGCCAATATATATGCTTTGCTTTTGTCTTTGAGATTCATATTTTAAGGCAAGTTAACCTTGTTTAGTCACTAAGAAAATATTTAGTATTTACCATATGGTAGACTTGGTAATCAATAATACCTATTGACTTATTCATCTTATAAGTATATTCATACCTCAAGGTAGGTATATAATCTGGTTGGGGAGAGACACATATAACAAAAAAGCTAAGATGTATTCAATGTTTACTACGTGATACATATTCTACTAATTTGTTTGCATGTATAAACTTATTCAGTTCTCACAGTATTTCCAATAAGTAGATAGTATTCTGATCGTAAGAATGTGGTAGAGGAAAGTGAGACATGCAGAGGTTGAAAAAAAAATGTGGAAGATTACAGGGAGAGTAAGTAGCAGAGAGTTGGGATTCAAATCCAAGAAGTCTGACTTTAGATCTCGTAACCTCCTCTTAACATTATATTATAATCTCTGTACTCCCACTGTGATAAGTGTGAGAATTGACATATTTATAGGATTTTACTTGACTTCAGAGTTGGAAATGCTTAACTCTGAATTAGATGCAAGTGAGTTATATAGGGAAAGCCAATTATTTTAAATTTCTTTTCAGGCTGAACAAAACCATTGCTGTTTTATACAAGAAATGGTGTTGCTTCATACAGTGTTAATGCCTCTATGGCCCAGTCTCACCTTTATGACTCATAATGGTCTCTGTTTCCTGCAAGCTCAGCCCTGCACAGATCCAGAATACGGTCTGTGGATGGAAGTATAGAAACAATCTGTTTCCTCCAAGTCCTCTGCGATGCAATATAGATTTATCAATTAGGTGCCCCACTGAGTAAAAGGTTGTTACCCTTATTACACTCCCATGGTATACAGCCACTGTACTAATAATTTTTCAGGCTTCCAGGTTCTTCCTGTAATTCCTACTTGAATGGAAACTAACCATGACCTTCTTAATTGTTCCTACAAGCACCTTTCAGGTCTAGCTCTTAGTTATATGGTCTTATAAGCCTCTTCCACCCAACACTGAGGATCAC